TCCCTTTTTACAGAAGTCTCCTAAGGTCTGTGAGTCAGCTTTATGAAAAAAAAGTCTATGTTTATTTCAGCTTTGTGTACAGTTATTGAAAGTGCCTTGTTTTATTTTTATGGTATGAAGTTACTCATTTATTTCCTATTTTATCATTTTGCATATTGCTGTTATGTGTTGTAATCATGCTAGCATTTTGAAACCCCAGTTGGTATATTGAACTGCATATGCTTTCTACCATCCGAGGGAAACTCACTGGGAAAATAGGACAGCAATCTCCACCTTCCCCTTCATATCTAAAAGTTTATCAGTATCTTGATGTACATATTCAGATGTGGCTAACATTCTGACATGGATCAGCACATCCAATGGCTGTTGTTAACTGTGGATTTTAAAGAGGAGACTATTGTTTACCAAAGTACCAAAAATTTTAGTCAGAATGCACAGGTATACTCTGTCCCAGAATGTTTTACACAAAATATATTAGAAATGTGTTTAGTATCCTTGAAATGAATATAATAAACTGGTCTGCTTATTTATTTTTAAATTATTATTCTAGACTTAAAAAGTCTTAAGAAATAGCAGCCAGCAAGTGGCATGGTAATTAAGACTCTGTATTCCCACATGGCCAACTGCAGTTCAAGTCCTGGACCTTACAGATTGAAAATCACCCCAGGCACATGTGTGTGTGTGTGCCCAAAATCCCAAGAGGAGACTGGAAGGGAAGGGATTGTGATGGGACCATCCCCCCCCCGGGGGAGGGGGGGTGATTTCTCACTTTCCCTCTCTCTAGCTCTCTCTGTCTCTCTCCAGCAAGCACACATGCCATATGACATAAACCTAAAAAAAAAAAAAAACTTAAGAAACAATCATTTAAACTAATCAATACCTTTTTAAGTCTAATAAAATAATCTTTATGAATCTTAGATATTATAGTGCTACAGGTCTCTTAAATTGAGCCACATACTTTTAAAATCTAGCTTTTCAGAAGATTGTATTTAAAGTTCTGGATGGGTGAAGAATAATGGTCAATTAGGTAAACTACTTTTATTTATATTTGCAGTGTACTTTTTTTACTTTTATAAATGCATTTTACTCCCAGTATTATATATATTTCATTATTGTTTCAGTTCACCAGTAGCTGTGTTGTTCAGATGTTGAATACCAGTTTCCACCACTTTCTGTTCCTTTCCATGTCCCCTACGATTATTGTAAATAGAATCATATTTAAAGTGCTGCATTTCACAGACGTGGAATGAGTCTGTGGTTTCCTTTTTAAGTTTTCACTTTATATTACTGATCATTTGTAAAAAATCTTTGTGAATAAGTGCAGTGCACTTCAGATGTAACCCATGTTAATAATAAAAGAAATTGAATGTAACTGAAACAGAAAACATTTTTGTGGATAACCTTGTAACTTAATCTTTTAAAAATTAAGTTCATGAGTAGACAGCACCACCGTAAAACTTTGCATTTGAAAGGCATTTTATTTGTCTACTATATATACAGAGATTAGCCATTTAAAGCACATCTGTCTAGTCTAGTACAACTGTCTGTTGAGATTAGAAAGAGGAGTGGCCATAGGTCTAAAAATTATTTGGTTTTGAAATGAATTTTGTTGCTTGAAAGAATAGGGGAGTTTTTGAATTATGTTAAAATAAGTTAGTATTCCTATCTAGTCAAGGGAGAAATCTAAATTTTATCCTGGAGATCCATAGAGAGCTACATATTTGATACACAGTTTGGTTCTTCATAGAATTAACTTTATTGCGTTGTACTTTGCAACTATGCTATTTAGCTTCTAATAGCAAAAGCAGTCACCAGAACTTATATTTTTAATATATAGCTGTTTTATCACCCTTTCTGAGGAAAAAACTTCTCTAGGTCTCAGTAGCCATAAAACCTGGCTTCTACTAAACAGTTGATTTGTTTTTAATCTCAAAGACAATTGCTCTCTTTGTTTCTCCTCTGCGTTTTTTGTCTTTTGGCAGCTCTAAGCAAATTGTAGTTTACCTATAATTACTATATAGAACAGTATAGGTTGCGCTTTTGTGTAGAAATCATAGGTCTTTTATTTTGTCTACCACAATTTTCTTCTCTAAGTTGTTCTATTCAATATGTATTTTTGTTCTGTTAAATTCTCGTGCTTGAATGACATTTTAGACAATATTTCGGTAAGAACTTGTCATAGTCTGTATTCCATCTAACACAATTACTGCCACCAGTTACGCCTAAATTATCCTTCCTTTAAAAACTGCCGTGAAGTCAGATGAGGAATATAGAATGCAACTTTAGAAATACTAACTAGTGGTAAGCCAAAGGTAGATTTGGGGCCAGCACAGTATGGATAAAGTCGGGATCATGATTTAACCACAGACTCAAATTAGAACAGACCACAATTGCTACTTATGTTTACTGTTTCTAAAAGAATTTTTTTTAAAAAAATGTCTATCAGTGTAATGATCTTCACACGAAACAAACAGTAAAAAACAATGCAACCATAGTCCAGCCTCTGTGGCAGTCAGGAGCTTCCTGTACTACAGGGCTGGAAGCCATGTGCCGACCATGGTTTCAGTTTCCTCTCCCATTGACCTGAAAACATGCTAGGTGTGTATATGTGTGCACAGGATCCTTGTGGACTGGAGGCCAGGAGGGAGGTAATCACGGTGTGACCGAGCCCTGCAGAGAGGACTTTTCTCTCTCACACTAGTGCATGTGTGCTTTGTATCATGAATTATTTTTAATTTTTTTTAACATAACCGACATACACCCAATAAATGAAAGGTAGTGTTTTATTGTAATAGAACCTGGTGAAAATAAGTGTAGACCTTGAATATCCTAATTAATATTTGCAGCCAAGCCCCACCTTGGGGTTATTAAACCTGCAGGGTTCTTGCCCTAGAATCAGCTGACCTGTCAGTTGAAACTTCTGGTTCATTTGGATAGCAGGTCCCTACCATGCATTGGCCAACCTCCCAGATGTACATATTCTTTTACTTTCCCATTTCCAAGATAGGAATTAAATAAATGAAATTCTCGTTTTCTCATCTCATCTTGCAACTTGATTTGAGCCTGCTGCAATTACAGCCAAGGAAATAAATGGAATTCTGCTGGTAACTTCTGTGCCACCTATTCCTGTAAGAAGGCAAGCGTGCTATTTATACAGCCTCTCCTGCTTCCTCTTGTTTTGATCTCAGATGACTTTCAGAGGCGCTACGGCAACCATCCTGCAAACATTCAGTGCAACAAGCAGGGAAGGGTAACAAAATAGCAAACACTCTGGTGGTTTACTAAACCACTATTAGTTGTAGGTTTTTCTTAATTGTTCCAAGAGAAATACTACCAAATTTGGAGCTTTCTGTCTATAATGATATAATACATTTTGTTAGTGAAGAGAAAGTTAAAGGAGAAAAAATTATTTTCTTGAAAGTGACAGGGGAGAGAACGTGTATGTAGTACACATAATCAAAGGTCCCTTCTGAGGCTCCTTTTGGTAAATGGAATTCTAATTCTCTCTCTCTCTCTCTCTCTCTCTCTCTCTATATATATATATATGTATATATATATGAATTTTAATTCTATATATATATATACACACATATTTATATATGTGTGTGTATATATGTGTATATATATATGTATTTATACACACGTGTGTGTGTGCATGTGCACATGCAGTCATCCATTGCTATCCATGGGGAGTTGGTTCTAGGACCCCCCCCCAGATTCCAAAATCCAAATGTTCAAGTCCCTTACATAAAACGGCATAGTATTTACAAGTAACCTATGCTCACCCTCCTATGCTCCTATGCTCATCTATTATAATACTTAATGAATATAAATGCTGTGTAAATTGTTCTTAGGTTATATTGTTTTTGTATTTATTGCTATTGTTTTTATTAGATTCCCCCCAAAAAAATATTTTCAATTTGCAGTTGATTATAACAGTGAATCCAGGACCCTTGGATAAAGAGGGCTGACTGTACTTAGTCTGCTTGGACTGCTCTGACAAAATGCTCCAGACCAAGTAGGTTAAACAGCAGAACTTTATTTTCTCATCATTCTGGAAGGTGCCACAGGGCAGGTTT